AAATGTTTTGAGAATGATGAGGGCAATGAATGTACAAATGTGCTTTTCACAATGGATGTATGTATGGATTGTGATAAGAGTTGTATGGGCCCCTAATAAAATAACAAAAAAAAAGAAAGAAAGATGTGTGCCCAAGATGCCATCTTCCAACTCTTTCTCTTTAGTCCTCGCTGGAAAAGTACATATGCTTTATAACTTGTTTTGTCTTCTCACAGCTCTTTTACTTCTCCTTGCCTGAGCTATCTTCACCCCATTTCAGCAGGCAGTGCCTCTCCCTTTCAGTATTCCATAGACACTCCCAACTTAGCATGTGCTCAACTGAGCCCTGCCATCTTCCCCTTTAGCGTGCTTAGCAATCTCCATTCCCGATTCGCACTTACACCCCCCGGACATCTCTGATAGAGACCTGAATACTGTTGTAGTCTTCTTCCGTGTTCATCCCTTGCCATGTTCAGTGGTTTGCTTTTTTCCTACTTAATTTCTTCAACTCTTGCTTATTGAAAGCTCCTTATGTGGCACTCACTAGAATAATAGACTCTGGAAACTTTGAAATGGTTTCTTAACAAGGGTAACTCTACAGCAGCATATTCTGAACAAATATTTAGTTGCAGTTGGCTTATTTTGAAAGTGAAAAGGAAAAACCAGGAAGGTGGTATGCTGGAGCTGCTTAAATGAATTTAGTGGAACTAATTATGTGCCCCTCTTCTCAACTGCACATTCAGTGAGGTTATGGGGGCAGCTTGAAATTGGCCATAATTGGAGTATTTATAAGACAGAGATTGACCAAAAGCTGCTTGTTAAATTTTACCCACATGTTACTAGAAACAGGGAGTGGAAACTGGGAAATAATATGAGTACACTGTGGATAACAGGAACTTAAATTTTCACTGGTAAAAACTCTGGAAGCCAATTTAGAATACACACCTCACAACTATCCTGTTGATGAAAATAAGCTGGGGTAATTTGATGTAACTTCTTATCAACCATTGGTTGAGAGCTGCCTCTGTTAGGCGCAATTGGCTGTAACATCCAGAGGAAACACAATTAGTTATAAGCAGGCTTCAGGAGACGTGGTAGTGTCGTGGTTACCCATTGCGCTGAGATACACAAGGTCAACTGCTTGAAACCAATAGCCACTCTGGAAGACAAGGCTTTCTACTTCCATAAAGAGTCTTGGAAACTCACAGGGACAGTTCTACCCTGTCCCTTAGGGTTGCTATGACTTGGCATTGACTCTGTGGCAGTGAGTTTGGTTTGGAGTTTGGCCAATGAACTTCAGTGGTAATGCCGAAGGTGTAGGCAGGGCTGAACAAATGATAAATTGATTGAGGCACTAGGTCCCCAGCATTGGTTCATGCTAAGTTCTCTAAGCTTTTATTGAAATGTGGTTGCTGTCTTTTTCTCCCCAGAGGTCGACATCATGGATCTCATGTGGGAAGACAGAACATGGATGGGAGGGAGGAAATTAATGCAAGTGAATGGCACTCTGACTTCCGAAGATGCAGGACTCCGGAAAGTCAAGAATTGCACGAGTCCAGGTAAGAGTGGTAGCCATGTGCTGCTCAGTGGCTGCGTACATCTCTAATTATGGCTGAGGAAGAGCCACCTGCCATGTTGTTGTTGTTTGTTTGTTTCCTTTCAGTTCCAATTCAGAGGTGCTTAGGGAACATTCAGGGCAAGTGTATAAAAAACTCAAAGGCGAGTTGCCAAAAATACCCCCCCAAAAAAGAATCCCCAAACTCACGGCCATTGGGTCAATGCTGACTTGTAGTGATCCTTTAGGACAGGGTAGACCTGTTCCTGTGAGTTTCTGAGACGGTACTCTTTACAGGAGTAGAAAGTGCTATCTTTCTCCCATGGAGCAGCAGCTGGTAGTTTTGAACCGCCAACCTTACAGTTAGAATCTGAGCTCATAACCACTATGCCACCAGGGCTCTGAGTTGCCAAAAACCAAAACCTAAGCAAACTCACTGCCACTGAGTGTATTCCGACTCATGGAGACCCTATGGAACAGGATAGAGCTGCCCCTATGGGTTTCCAGGACTATAACTCTTAACAGGGGTAGAAAGCGCCGTCTTTCTCCAGTGGAGTGGCTGGTGGTTTTGAACTGCTGACCTTTCGGATCATAGACCAACTTGTAACCACCAGGCCTCCAGGGCTACATAGAGTGTATTTTTAACAGGGAAAAGCTGAGTCAAAGTCAGTCATTTACTACCTGTTCTTCACTGACGTCAAATGTGAAGGCAAGTGGGAAACTGAGTCAAAAGTTGAGTGGTTGAGAATGTTCTCTGCTATCATACCATCTCCACTTTAATTCCTGAGTCAAAGGAGATTTGTTTCCAGCAAAGCTGGAACTGAACCAGATCCTTAATCACAATGCTGATCTTTAAGGAAATGAACACCTATTTTGCCAGTTGTTATATTTTGTATCTATTGTACTTTTTCTCAGAAAAAGAAATGCATCATTTTACCTGTAATATTACTGAAATGAAGAAAAATAACAAACTGAAATAAGCAAATAAGACCAAGCTCACCATTAGGTTCCTGGTCTTTAGACCAGGGATTGCCAAACTCTTTCTTTAATAGACCAAATAGTAAATGTTTTAGATTTTGAAGGTCAAATATAATCTCTGTAGAATATCTTTCTTCTGTAAACATGTTTAAATACTCTTTAGCTTGCTGACAAAAAACCCCCCACAAAACTTAAAACCTGTCATTGGTTCACTGACTATATAAAAACAGGCTCTGGGTTACATTTCAAAATCCTTTCGGGACTTACTTCCTTGAGTTGTGGCTGGAATTGGCCTCACATGTGATTCTTTTACAACTCCAGAACTCAGCGACCTACTGAACTCACATCCAAAGGCATGCTTCACTTTTAATGTCATCCTGGAAAATATCTACAACTTTCATTGCCTGCCCAGAGAACCATGTGCTTTTAAGTATAGACAATATTCTGTCTACTATATTGAGGGAGGTGGGAAGAAATTCCTTCCTTCATCCTACTGAGACTCTTATGCTCCCAAGAAAAAACTGGAAGGAATTAAAAATATATACACCCCCTCCAAATTAAAAGCAAAGCAAAACTATATATTTAAAATCCTTAACCTGTTGTGGCTGTTGTTAAACACAACAAAGTGATATTCTTGAGTTACTGAAGTACACAGGCAGCTGCAGGAGATAGAAATGAAAAAGACACTTAAAGGTTGAGAGTCTAATCTGAAGAGATAAAGTCCTTGTGTGTGTTGAAGAGCATTGAAGGATGACCATGACAGTGTGGACCATTTCTGTACTGAGAAGCTTGCTTGATGATCCAGCCTTGTAGCCAAATACATTTCAACAACAAATAGGCTGATGACTTAGATGTTCGAAAGCAGAGGAGAGAGTGTCACGAAGAGCAGATTATGCCACTTGATCTACGGAAGAAGGGAATTCAACAGGAACAGTGGCCTGGACTCTCAGGGTAATTAGCTCCAGGGTTCAGCCGCTTGAAGGGCAGGCAATAATGGAAGTTGCTTATTTCCTGTTGCTGAAGTGTGTTGAAGTGCTGCCTTGCTGTATCAAGAAATGCCTTTTCTCAGAGTGACAGAAATAGGAAAAATAAAGCACATCGATGGCTATTGCAAGAGAGGAAATAAATCAGGTTTCAGGTGGTGGTGTTATTGGTGCCATTCGGTCAGCTCTGACCCATAGCCACTATATGCACAATAGGATGAGACACTGCCCGGCTCTGTGCCCTCCTCACAATTGTTCCTGTGCCCATTGTTGCAGCCATTGTGACAGTCCATCTTGTTGAGAGCCTTCCTCTTATTCGCCGCTTCCACTTTACCAAACATGATGTCCTTCTCCAAGGACTGGTCTCTCCTGACAGCATACTTGCTGGTAGAAGAGAAAATGTCCAGGTTGATAAAGAGAGCCCAAACTCATTGGAGTTGGCATGGGGGCCGAGGGGCTGGTAGCAATGGAGAAAGGGAGGGAAAGAATGGCTTCAAGAGAAAAAGAAGAAAGGGAAAAAGGCAGCTTGGCCATGTTGTGCCAAGTAGTTCCAAATGATAGGGGACCAGGAGGACATTTCTACTTCATGTATACAGTTAAGGGTCTGAGCTCGATATTGGGAGTCTGTAACTCTCAACCAAATACTACAGGAGAAACAGACCTGAGACAGGAAGCCCCATTGAAATCCAAGCACAACAAGTAATGGCGCAGCCTGCATTCTTCAGAACCTTCATTGCGACCTTCTGTTTTCTGAATGCTTGTGGAACACCAGGTCTATAGCTCTGCTGGCCGATATGAACCTTCGATGGCTCTATAAATTCCAATAAAATAAAATAAATGATCAGATTCTCCATTGCTCTAATCCACATTTTAAAAACTTAATAGCCACATGACTACAGTTTTGGACAGCCCCAACAACCACCTTTTCATCTTAGAAAATTATCTTAGACAAGCAGGTCGATAACTTCCAGCTCTCAATGGTCATATTTTCCATGTTTCCAATGAAGTTAAAAATTCTCAAGACATGGCAAATATGGAAATCTTCATAGCCCCACTCCCCAGCCCAAGACTTGGGGATCACCCTCATTTCGTTTGAATGTCAGCTCACTTCCACAGGAGCTGTGGGTTTGGTAGTGGGCGCAGGTCACCTTCTCCGAGCCTCTGCCTCTTTGTGAAATTACTATGGTGACCTCTCATATATTGTGAGAGGTGGTAACAGGACTTAGTAAAGGATGTACAACTTGGTACCTGCAAATGGTGACTCTCAGACTGCTACACTAGGAACTCACCTTGAGTCTTCTACCATCTGCGAGGGTGTCTATTTTATTCTTGTAAAGGTGAGTCATAGTGCAAGATTCCTAAGGTGGTTTTCTTCAGTCTGTTCCACAGAAAATCCCTGTTGGTGCTATGGGTTAAGCATTGGACGGCAGGATCAGGGGTTCAAACTCACTGCTTGCTCTTCAGGAGAACCATAAGCTGTCTGCTTCTGTGAAGATTTACTGACTCGGACACTCTGTACGGGGTTGCTATGAGTTGAAATCAACTTGATGGCAGTGGGTTTGTTCTCCACAAAAAGGGCTCACGTGGCACGTATGGCATTGCCAACAATGCGGGGCAGTGAGGTTCAGGCACCATCTTCTTCTTCTTTTTATTTTTTTGCAATTACAATATTTTGAATTCTTTTTTATTCTTTCGGTGCATTTTTATGTCTTAGTTCCCACTCTTACATTCATTATTACATTTTCTTCTGCACATACGTAAGTAGGAATAACCGAGTCTTGATTTCTAAAGAACTCTCTGGGTACCATAAATCCCAGAAGCTTCCTTTTTAAATTTTCCTTTTAAGAATTCAATTCAGAATTATCAACAAAAACTGACTGCTGTATGAAGAGACGTCAAGTAAGAGGCTGCAGCAGATACAGACACACTTATATGTTAGCAATATTTGTAATAGGTTTAAATATTATTTTAAGTGATGTATAGAGAAACTGCATGTCCTTATATAATTGGATTTCAAGACCCACTGCTTATTTATGCAGAACTCAATAATAATCAAAGATTCATTGATAAAATTCAAAATTAATAAAAGCGTTTTTCTGAAAGTCATCTAAAAATCTTTTAAAACCTATTATGCTGAATTTTCTTATATATATATTAAAACTTTTATTGGGGGCTCATATAACTGATCACAATCCATGCATACATCCACTGTGCCAAGCACATTTGTACATTTGTTGCCATCATCATTCTCAAAACATTTGCTTTCTACTTGAGCCCTTGGTATCAGCTCCTCATTTTTTCCCCTCTCTCCCCCGCCCTCCGGCCTCATGAAGCCTTGATAATTTATTAATTTTTTTTTTTTATGACTTACACTGACCGATGTCTCCCTTCACCCACTTTTCTGTTGTCTGTCCCCCTGGGAGGGGGTTATATGTAGATCCTTGTGATTGGATCCCCCTTCCTCCCCACACCTTCCCCTTCCCCTCCTGGTATGGCTACTCTCAATATTGGTCCTGAGGGGTTTAATCTCTCCTGGATTCCTTGTGTTTCCAGCTCTTATCTGTATCCATGTACATGCTCTTGTCTAGCTGGATCTGTAAGGTAGAATTGGGGTCATGATAGTGGGGGCAAGGAAGTATTAAAGAACTAGAGGAAAATTGTATGTTTCAACAGTGCTATACTGCACCCTGACTTGCTTGTCTCTTCCTTGTGACACTTCAGTAAGGGGATGTCCAGTTGTCTACAGATGGGCTTTGGGGCTCCACTCTGCACTCCCCCTCATTCAGAACGATGCACCATCTTCTCATAGAGACATGCTTTGTAGATGTCACACGGTGTAACAGCACAGGCACCTCTGGTGGATAGTTCATTTCAAGCAAGACTGCGATGAAGAGCTTGGCACAGATAGATCCGAGTTGCCTCTCTGCTCCCTGATGTTGGAAGTCCACTCCTCAGTCCAACTAAACCAATATTAAGGTACAGTGGTTCTCAACCTGTGGGTTGCCACCCCTTTGGGGGTCCAACGACCCTTCCACAGGGGTCA